AAAAGTCTACGATGAGGAGGTCAAAACTGACCTCGACTGACCGGCGCCTTATATGAGCTATAAATCGAAAAAAAATGTCCACGGAGGAACCTCTTCATAACTCTTAAGGTCGTAGACCGACCCTCGGGCGAATTAATTAAGCATTCAAATTCTCAATGTTTTCGAAAGCCTAAGCGAAGCTGGGCAGCATGCCTAGTCTAAATCTATAATGGGCCACGTTCGCACATCTCTCTCTCTCTCTCTCTCTCTCTGTCCGCAAAAAATTTTCGCCGGACATCACGTCAGAATCGGCAGCAATATATGAAGAACGTTTTACGGACTTTTGTTGAAAATAATATGTTAGATGTTTTAAATGTATAACCACAATTTTATTTAAAAAAGGAAAATAAAAAATCAAGGCGTATTCGAATATAGAGAAACAGTATTATTTATGCAACCGGAAAAGTGTATAAACTTGGGACAAGAACACATTTAACAATGACGTCACTTATTGTTTACGCTAAAAAAAGAGCACGAAACTGATGACGTCATCTTCCGAGTTTAGAATAAAAATAAATGAACTATTTCATTCAAATATGATTTAGAGCTACGTACGCTATGAAATGTAGCCTATACAATACTATTTTCTCGGCCTAAACTTAAAAAAATTATTTTATCTATTTGGATTCTAGATCTAGAGATTCTAGATCTAGATATTGATCTAGATCTAGATATTCTAGAGATTCTAGATCATATAGATCTAGAGATTCTAGATCTAGATCTAGATGATGTATAAAGCTAAGTTGTCGGGTGCCCGATAGGGCACTTCCTGGCGCCGCAGGCGCTTCAAATTTGCCAGGATCTTGCCTTGGGGCGACAGAACACAGGGGCCGGTTGGCCGAAAAGTCTACGATGAGGGGGTCAAAACTGACCTCGACTGACCGGCGCCTTATATGGGCGAATTAATTAAGCATGCAAATTCTCAATGTTTTCGAAAGCCTAAGCGAAGCTGGGCAGCATGCCTAGTAAATTTCTATATTAGGACTAAACTATTTCAAGACATAATTATCCTAATATATAAAACCCCACGTTCGCACATCTCTCTCTCTCTCTCTCTGTCTGTCCGCAAAATATTTTCGCCGGACATCACGTCAGAATCGGCAGCGATATATGAAGAATTTTTTACGGACTTTTGTTGAAGATAATATGTTAGATGTTTTAAATGTATAACCACAATTTTATTTAAAGAAGAAAAATAAAAAATAAAGGCGTATTCGAATGTAGAGAAACAGTATTATTTATGCAACCGGAAAAGCATTAATAGATGTGTAAAAGAACGCATAAAACTGTGACGTCACTATTGCTTACTAATGACGTCAAATGCCGTGTTTAGAATAAAAAGAAATGAACTATTTCATTTAATTTTTTTTTAGATCTACGTACACTATGAAATGTACACAATACAATTTTTCCGGCCTAAACTCATAAAATTTATTTTATTTATTTGGATTCTAGATCTAGAGATTCTAGATCTAGACTAGATCTAAATCTACAATTCTACGCAATATCTAGATCTAGATCGAGACGTAGACGCTAAGATCTAGATTTAGCCTCTAACTTCTCTAGAATCTATTCCAAAAATAAATTTCTATATTAGGACTAAACTATTTCAAGACATAATTATTTTATACAAAGTCTTTGTTTGGAACTGGCTAATTTGGGATAAAAAATTAATTTGAAAGAATAGGCATATTCGCGTAAGTTAAGATTTTAAAATACGTCTTTTATTCTCCGTGTTTTTAAGGTGCCTATATAGCGGAGATGATAGTGTACTTAAACTCACGCAGGTGGTGCGGGTTCGAGACGCACCAAGTCAACTTGGTTAATCTATTTTTTTTTTTTATTTTGCTCGGGCTAAACTTAAAAAAAAAAATTCGATTAGGATTCTAGATCTAGATCTAGATGATCTAGATCTACGAAAAAACTAGACTTACACAGATGTAGACCCTACCTAGATCTAGAATCTATTCAAACAATACATTTCTATACTAAAGTATTTCAGGCCTTAATTACTTTATTGAAATCTTTGTTTATCTTTGCAATTTGCTAATCTCTATAATATATAAAGAGTAGACATGGCGGGGGGTGGAAACAGGCGTTGTAACTGAAATAGCAATGTAAACAGAAAGTGATATTTCAACGCCAAGGGTAGACAAAGGTACATAATATAGTCCAAGTAAAGACAGAACAGTCAGAACCCAGGCGGGATCCGAACCTACCATTCCACCCGGCACCTAATCGCCTCGCCTTCCATGCATCAAGTCAGACGTGTAGCCGATTCTGCCAATCGGCTCTACAAAAATAAAGCTTTCATGGCAGAGCACTATCCTACTTGTACACGGTAGACGCGGGCTGGCGTGACCTTTGAACCCCGAATGGGACGATACAGACAAACAGTAGCTTCCTTTTTTAAAAGGAAGCTACTGTTTGTCTGTATCGTCTTCCCTATACGTGTCGCCTGTGTGGTCGAATAATGGTCCTTGTTGTGTGTGTGTGAGGCTGAAATATCACTTTCTGTTTACATTGCTATTTATAATATATAAAGCAAAGTTGTCGGGTGTCCGATAGGGCACTTCCCGGCGCCGCAGGCGCTTCAAATTTGGCAGGATCTTGCCTTGGGGACACAGAACACGAGGGCCGGTTGGCCGAAAAGTCTACGATGAGGGGGTCAAAACTGACCTCGACTGACCGGCGCCTTATATGAGCTATAAATCGAAAAAAGTTGTCCACGTAGGAACCTCTTCATAACTCCTGAGGTAGTAGACCGACCCTCGGGCGAATTAATTAAGCATTCAAATTCTCAATGTTTTCGAAAGCCTAAGCGAAGCTGGGCAGCATGCCTAGTAGATCTAGATACGACGAAGATCTAGGAACGGTAAAACCTTAGTTTAGCTTCGGAAATTATCGGATAATGTTTGTTGAGTTTCGGTAACTAGAGTTACGGTAAACCATGGTTTATTTGAACATTGAAATAGATTTAAATATAAACAAAGTGAAAGTCGATTGTAGCAAATTAATTTTTTAATGTTTTAATTTTATTAAGTTTAATCGACAAAAGGAAACAAGAATAATAGTAGATTTAAATTAGTAGATCTAAAAATGAAAAGAAATATATATTAATATAATAAATATAAATATTAAATAATGAAGTCAAATGTAATAATTTAACGTTTTTGGCTTGCAGCTGATTTGCGGCCATTAATTAATTAAATCTAGATCTAGCTAGCTGCTAGGCCAAGTAAATAAAAATCTAGATTACGAAAATAGTAAAAATGATTAAATGATTACAAAAATAGTAAAAGTGACTAGAAACGGATCTTACCCTATTTTGAAAATGAAACAAGACCTTTGTAACCACGCCATTATTTGTACTTTTAGCTGAGAAACTTTTGTCTGCTATTAAAAACTACCGGTATCCCACCCCCCTCCCAAACACACACAACAAGAGACGGTGGAGGGGTCACTGTGAGGTCACAGTAGCCCAGTCTAATATGACATATCATGAACTGTACCGTAACTTATATTCCCCCTCCTCCCTCACCTAGCCAAACAGCACCATCTACGTACTTGGGGTCACAGTGAGTTCATAGACGTTTAGATATCAGTGATTATCATCAGTGACCTTAGTTACTAGGTGGGCGGGTTAGTCTAGCCCTAAACATTTTCACGGTCAGTCACGCAACAACAACAACAAAAAGACAAGTCTTACACTTCCCCCCCCCCTCCCCCAATGATGTAGTAACTGAGAAATCGGGTTTCTTCTGCGATACCCACCGAAAAACATCATTCCACAGTGTAGACCCGTCCAGACTTTTTAAAGTCTGATGAAATTCACTTTTCTAAATTCAAGACTTTTTCCAGACTGCGTACAAACCCTGTTAAACAATGTTTAGTAGCAGAAATATTTAGCTGAAACACTTAAAAATAACTAGTTAGGCCTATACAAAATGAGTGATAAAGTAGTATTTAACACGCAATTAAAATAAATCTATCCAAATTTTAAACGATCTGTATTAAAAATAAAAGATGACGCCAAATAAAGTATGGTTTACAGTACTTCCGGAACTGTGTGACAGACTTTGCCATAGTTTTCCTTTTTTTTTACTGCTATACCATTCCGGAATAATAACCGACGCTAAATTAAGGTTTTACCTAATATTCTAACAAAATACTTCATGTGTCATGTAGTATTATTTAGTAGGCCTAGATCTAGTAGTAGTCTAGTAAGTTTGTAAATAAATATAATAAATATAATAATAAATAATTTTTTAAATATTAAATAGCAGGCCTATCTAGTATCTATAGTAAGTAGGCCTATCTACTATAGTAATTAGTATAGTACTGTAAATGTAATAAAATAAAGTTATAAAGGTTCCTACTCGTAGGACGTCCACTAGAAGTACTAGATCTAGAATCTAGATCTAGTAGCAGGTCTACTTAGCACTAGATTCTAGATATTCTGATATTGCCCTAGAATGCCCTCCTAGAATCTAGAACTAGATTTCTAGAACAAGAATTCCTGAATTACAATTTTATAGTACTATAGAAATCTAGAGATTTAGTTAGATCTTTCTTCCGAGTAGTCACTTCGTACTAATAAAGTGAAGTAGTTAGAATCTAGATCTAGATCTAGTAGTTAGTTAAGTAGAGATTGAGACTCATTTCTGGTCATTTCAGATTATGCAGAAAGATCAAACTTTTTTTAAAAAACATTTGTACTTTATTAGATCTACTTTATACTAGGCTTTTCGATTCATGAATTCTCGTTCTCGCGGTTTCGTAGCCACCGTGTTTTGGGCGGACATAAAATATTAATCATTTTTTTCTCATGATACTTATAAATAAGGATCGTATCGTAATCGGTAAGATTTGTATCGAAACTGCCCATGTAATTACGGGGCGAATAATTAACATTTTAATAATGCTAGCTTTACCTGATTTCTTTCTTTGTCTTTCACGAGGCCGACGAGGGAAAGTCACTCTTGTGCTTGAAGTCAAAATTAACTAAAGCAGGTGCGTGTATTATTGACTTTTTTATTTGTATATAATACTAAAGCCTAACATCTTCACTATGATATAAAAATAGAATTGTATAATAAATCAACAGTCGATCAAACCATTGCCCGTACAGGCGACCATAATTATTAATAGTAGCGAGTCTAGTAGTACTTTATCTAGAGTAGTAGGCCTCCCTAGCACTAGATTCTAGATCTAGATATTGCCCTAGAATGCCCTTCTAGAATCTAGATCTAGATTCTAGAACTAGAATTACAATTTATTAATATTAGTAGCGAGACTCACTAACTTGAAAGCGTCCATGGTTGCTAACCGGAACATGGCTACCACACCTTGGCCTACGATTGGGCAATTTTTCTGTTTTGTTCGATAGACCACCTTAACATTAACTTTAAAAATAATTATCACGCGAAAAATGGCGTTTTTTTCTGCGTATTTTAAGCAATTTGAAGATGACAAAATTATTTTTGGCAGATTTTTTTTTTTTTTTTTTTGCTTCCGACATTTAAGGTCAAGCGTAAACATGGGTACAGTTTGAGTAGCTTAAAAACTTTAAATAATGGTCTCTTAAGTGTCAAAACTGCATGCCTAGGTCAAGTATTATTAGATTGGGTAATCTTTTTGGGTACATGTAGTAATGTGAAAAACGGGTGACTCCTTAAATTTTAATAATTATTTCACATTTTGAGGAGGATTTATGTTTTGAAAAATACAAAAAATTTTCTTTGTTTTATTTATGTACCTGTTTTTAAACAATTGAATTAAAACTTTTCAGTAATAAATGAAGACAAGCGCCTTTCCAATAGATGCAACCATGCTCATTTACTATAGCAGCCTTCTTGTTTAAGTTTTTTTTTGTAAACTTATAGCGGATATAGCGCGAGATTCAGGGGGAAGCCACTCTATTTTACAAATGGCTGCTGTTTATATAGCAAATCTTGCTCGCAAACACTGCTGTTTAAAGTTATTTTCTGGCATATATTGATATATTTAGCCATTGATTTAGGTTTATTATTTATTTATACTATTTGACACAAATATATTACAACGAGCCGACCCGCAGCGTATCATACGCCGCTATTTATTTGTTTTATTTTCTACTTTTCAGTAATTCATAATTTGTGAATTCGACAGAACTAATGCTGCCACTGAAAATATTTGCTTTAAAACACTAACCCCCCCTTTCCCCTAAAATCGACCCTACCCCCCCCCCCCCCCCCCCCCCCCGTGAAAGCAGCCTTCTCTTAGTTATTTCTTAGTTACCTCCTGTAAGTTTAAAATCGAACTAAATAATCTGCCCCTAATAGAAACCCGGCTCTACGGCTCTACGATTTGTAAACATTTAGCTTTGTAAACATTTAGCGTGACCACAGCTCACCAGACAATGTGGGGGTGGTAGTGATAGTGATTGAGAGAAAGAGAGGGGACTGCAAGGAGGCACTTGCAGCTTGTTTTCTAACGGCTCCAAGAAGAGAATTATATATATAGATATACTTCTATTAAAGCCTTGACAATGAGGTAACTTTTTCGTACATTAATAACCGCGGGCGATTTTACGTACCCAAAAAAATAGATTACCTTAGATTGATCATTTAGTGAAAAAAAAAGGTCACGGAAAACACGTAATTTTTTATTGTGTCGTCATCGCAATTGCAACTTTATATTTCTGTGTTTCATGGCTAGATATGTTTACAATCAGCATGCTATGATTTTAAAATTGATAAAGGGTAAGTATAACAAGTTACAAAATCTGCAATCATACTTTCAGCTTATAAAATAATAAAAACGATCATCAACAAAGAAAGTGTAAACATTCTATTTTTAGGTGTGACATAAAAAAACAGTCATAAATCTAGCCAAATGATTGGATTCTTGCGCAGCACACATTTTCCCGCGCCTCATTTTCACTAAACAAGATTATAATAAAATGGCATTATTGGGGGTGATCGTTTTCTCACGAGCAAATTTCATTAACCCCATAAATTATTACCAGTTAATTGTAATGTGTGTTAAATTAATACTTTAAAATTTATGAGCAACATAAGCTGGTTTATGAGCAAAGCTATATTTCAGAGTTATTTGATTTAAAAGACAAGAATACATAGAGCTGTTTTCACTTACGCGCCGCTTGCGAGACAATCAAAGAAATTAGGTCAAAAGTACATCTGGGAATTCTTTAATAACAGACTGAAATAGAAACGGATAGTTCCGATGTCTAAAATTAACGATGGCCTCGTAATTATTAGTTTTATCCCTCTACTGTTTAGTGAAAGCGAAACTGATCGCCATTTTAGTAAGCGCATGAGCCGTGAGATGCCACGAAAATGACAAACCCGGAAGCGTTGAACCGAACAGCCTACTTAGTGGGGTAAAATTATGCAGATGGCTGAGAAAGTTGGATGAGATCTCATAATAATAATATTAATCAATATAAGTCACCATAACTCTTCTCGGTAAAACCTTAGTTTAGCATCATAATTTCCAAAGTAGCTACTAGCTAGTAATGTGCGATGGAGGTAACTAATGAATATTTCTTTCATTTGGCCATATTTATGACATATTTTACATAATATAACAGATAATTGAATAACAAATCACAATCTATGACCAAACCAGCCAAAAATATCCTGGAGTAAACTTTAAACTACCCCGTTCGAGACAACAATGAGTAAATACAAGCAGTGGCCATCTTTCAAAAACAATAATAGAGTAGTTTCCCTTGAAAAATTGTCTATTCGCATGTCTGTTGTGTTGATTTTGTTGTTTAATACAGTTATTTTGTATTGTTTTAATATATGCCTGTATAGTAATTTTTCTTTTTTTTTTCAATATAGTTGACATTAATGACTAATAGACCTTTTCATACTTAATAGTGTGCATCCAAGACCACAACAGTTGTTGTGAGGTCGAACTTTCTAGATTCTTGGGTTTTCTTGAGGCTGACTCTCTGGAGTTGTGACTTTCACTTTTGATTGGATAGATTCCGATAGATGTTTACAGTTATTTATTATATTCATATTGTCAATTAGCTGGACAAAAATAAAAAAAATAGGTTCCTGAAGAATTTAAGTTTCTTCAAATTTTTAATATTGTTACTGTTCTGTGGGTGGCTAGTTTTTAAAACAAACTTAAAGACTAGCAATATAAAATACATAGAGAAGACCAGTGCTTGGCTAGGGCATCAACATGGCGACGGATGTAAACATCATGTGGTTTTGGTCATGTGTGTGCAACCTCTCCATTAGTTTGACCGAGAAAATTGTATACATAGTGTAGGTCTTGCTAAGTAAATTTATAAAATCTAGATCTAAGTCAAATTTGAATGAAAAAGTTCATTTCTTTATATTCTAAAACTGGAAGAGGACACCATTGGTGTTGTGTTCATTCCGTAGTTTAAAATAGCTAAGCTAGTTTAGAAGAGTAACAGTATCGTCCCCTAGCCTTCCTTGCACTACCTGTAAACATATTAATAAATCCATATACACAAAACTTTTATGCATGCACATATATTAGTTGCCAGCCATACAAATAAAATAGCATTGAAAGTTTTTACAATTGTTGCAAGAAATTACAAGTCCTATTGTGTACAAATATTGTCACATAACTACAAAAAGTGCAAATTAGTGCCAAGCTGCCTGAAGAGATCAAGTGTTTATTAAGCTGTTTATGACAATTTAGAACTGTAATTAAAATTAATTTTAACACTTTTATTACATATTTGGATAAGATTAAGCACTTATTACTTACATTTAAAAACTAACAAAAGCAAATAAAGTTTTGATTTTTGTTATTAATATCTTAGTATTTCTATTTTTTAAAAGAATTTTTAAGAAACTGGTAGCTTCAGATATTAATATGCAGTCCTGATTACTTTGCATTACTGGTTGTCTATTTTAAAATTACATCTGACTGAGTAATCATTAGTAATCAGACTGATAAAAGTCTGGCATGTGTTACAAATTTTGCCATGTTATTAGTAATAAGTTGTTTTGATTATTTAATCACCAGTTTAACATTTACATTTTTTTAATCATCAGTTCATATCTAAGAAGCTGCCCAGCATGGAGGAGGAAACAGATGTGTTAGCTGCAGTTTCATCTACTGTAGATATACAGTCAAATGAATTGACAGAGTTTTCATCTTCTGAAGATTTGAAACCAGATCTATCGGCCATATTTTTATCTTCTGCTGGCATCAAAACAGAATTATTGACATTGATTAATTTCCAGGATATAAAACCTAACATGTCATTTAAAACTTCTCAAGATGTTAAACCTGATATTAATTCAGAATTTTCTTCTTCTAATGACATAAAAGTAAAACCAGAATTATCATTTTTTAATGTTCAGGATATAAAACCTAACATGTCATTTAAAAAGTATCAAGATGTTAAACCTGATAATACATTTTCAATTGAAAAAACTAATAAGAAACCTGCTGCATCAGCAGAATTTTTAACATCTGAAAGTTTAAAACCAGAATTATCAACTACTGAAAATTTAAAACAAGATTTCACAACAGAATTTTTATTTTTTGAGGATATACAAGAAAATGGACTTGAAGAAAATCTACAATTGTCTAGGGACAACGAAAATAAAATTTCTCAAAGATCTGAAAGTAATATGCATAAAAATGCTCATTCTGAAGATAAGCCATATGAGTGTGATGTTTGTCATAAAAGGTTTTCTAGAAATTCTAATTTTAAACTACATAAAAAAGTTCATTCAGGAGATAAACCACATGAATGTGATGTTTGTCATAAAAGGTTTTATCAAGGTTCTAATTTAAGAGAACATAAAATGGTTCATTCAGGAGATAGGCCACATGAATGTGATGTTTGTCATAAAAGATTTTCTAGTTCTCAGTTAAAAGCACATAAAAGGATTCATTCAGGAGATAAACCACATGAATGTGATGTTTGTCATAAAAGGTTTTCTCATATTTGTTATTTAAGAAATCATAAAATGGTTCATTCAGGAGAAAGGCCACATGAATGTGCTGTTTGTCATAAAAAGTTTAGTCAGAAGATACATTTATCATTACACAAAAAAGTTCATTCTGGTGATAAGCCATATAAGTGTGAGGTCTGTCTTAAAAGGTTTTCTCAAAGTTCTCATTTAAGAGAACATAAAAAAGTTCATTCAGGAGAAAGGCCATATAAATGTGATGTTTGTTATAAAAGGTTTTCTATAAGTTCTAATTTAAAAAGACATAAAAAAGTTCATTCAGAAAATCTACAATTGTCTAGGGACAACGGAAATAAAATTGTTTATTATCATCAAACATTTTCTCAAAGTTCTGAAAGTAATATGCATAAAAATGTTCATTCTGGAGATAAGCCATATGAATGTGATGTTTGTCACAAAAGGTTTACTCGAAAATCCAACTTAGGTAAACATAAAAAGATTCATTCAGGAGAAAATTGTGATGTTTGTCATAAAAAATTTGTGGATGCGCAGGATCTCTTACGACATAAAATTGTTCATTCTGGAGATAAGCCATATGAATGTGATGTTTGTCTGAAAAGATTTTCAAATAGTTCTCATTTAAGAACACATAAAAAGGTTCATTCAGGAGATAAACCACATGAATGTGATGTTTGTCATAAAAGGTTTACTCGAAGTTCTATCTTAGGTAAACATAAAAAGATTCATTTAAGAGAAAAGGCATATAATTATGATGTTTGACATAAAATCTTTGCAAATAAGAATAATCTATTACAGCAATATAAAGTTCATTCATTAGAAAGGTCACATGAATGTGATGTTTGTCATAAAAAATTTGTGGATACGCAGGATCCCTTACGACATAAAATTGTTCATTCTGGAGATAAGCCATATGAATGTGATGTTTGTCTGAAAAGGCTTTCTAGAAATTCTGTTTTAAAAATGCATACAAATGTTCATTCTGGAGATAAACCATATGCATGTGATGTTAAATATAATGTTTACTTAATATTCTAATTTAAGAACACAAAAAAGATTCATTCAGATGAAAGGCCACATATGAATGTGATGTTTGTCCTTATAAAGTCTGCTTGTTAGTGGGATTTATTAAGACAATTTTGTTCATTTGAGGAAAAAAGCCATATTAATTTGATGTTAATCCTAAATGACTTACTCAGTATTGTTTAACTTTTTTGGGCCATAAATGGTTTTTTCAACGTTCTTAATTAAGTGCACATGAAAAAGTTCATTTATGAGACAAGCTATATGAAAGTGGTATTTGTCATTAAAGGTTTTCTAGAAGTTGTAGTCGAAATGATGTTTTACACAAAAGATTTTCTTAGATTTAAAAACTCTAAAAAAAAAATTCATTCTTTATGTAAGACAGAGGAATGTGATGTTGGTAAGGAAATGTTTTCTTTTAAATTTACTTTATATAGTCAAAGAAATTCATCATGACTTAAAACCAATTTAAAATCATTTTTTAACATAAACAATTAATATCTATAGCAAATTATTAAATTTCTTATAATTTTTCTCTGCACATAACTTCCAATAGTGAGCCATAGTTAATAAATATTTGTATTATAAAAAGGTTCTTTTGTCAAAGAGTATACCTCGTCAATTATTATACATCCTCTAAAAAGAAATTGTATTCTGACTGTAAAAGGAAATAGCATCCTATTGTCAGCTGCATGTGTACATTTTTTCTTTAAGTATCCTACTTCTTTTTGTGTTATTTGTAAATATGTATGATAGGAAGTAAGCTATCACTTTAGGGACCCAGGATTTTATTTTTATACCGGCATGGTCTTGTTCAGGCCACACAGTTAATTTGCCTGTTTCAGATTATATAAAATTGACAATGCACATTCATTGGGATAAGGAACCTGATGAAACAAATTACACATTAACAATAACAGAAGCTAACTAAAATAAAGCACGCTGTTCAAGTTCAATGTATTATTTACATTTACTAGATGTTTACAATATATGTAGGCCCTACTGTTAAACAATTCTTAACTTTACACATTTACACTACTCACAAACAGCTCAATCAGACAAACAGCGACAAGACAGAATATCAGGTTGACAGGTAAAACAACCTCCATTAGACAAGTACAATGACATCAGGCCGGCAGTCACAGTGGCATCTGGCCAACAGGTACAGTGACATCAAAACTTCTGAGCAGACAAAATACTTTTGTAAAAACCTTTTCATCTTTTGCTAAATGCCTTTAATCATTATATTGAGAGGTATAGAATCACAAATCCTATGACCAAACTCTACTGGCTGCAATGTATAACTCAAACAGACCAAATGTAGAAACTTCCTCTCCCTCCCCACTATTTACATGTCTTATGGAACTAACCCCAAGTTTCATGTTGGTCCAACCATTGCTAAGGCTTATGGTCACTTTCTTATTTTTGCTAGATGTTTTTTTAAAGTTTTTTTAAATGCATTTGTAACATGTTATATATAGATTTTTATCTTTCTTCACACCTTCTCAATATGAACTTTATGCCAAATCTCAGACTCCTCTCTGCATGCTGTGTGATTGAAAAGAGTATAAAATAATTTTCTTCACTTATTCATATAGGCCAGGGGTTCCCAACCCTGTGCCCGGGGGCGCCATGGCGCCCGCTGAACGATTCGTATGTGTCCGCCTCTAACTATTCGACAAAGACAGAATTTTTTTCATAAGCATTATTTTAAAATATAATTTATTATTATTCATTTGTTACAGTTTTAATTTTTTTTTTAGGTTTATTAAATATGTTCGATACTTGTCCCAACTTGTCTAGCGGCGAACCAGACTGCACTATTTACGCTAACCTGGAACGGCTAGTGCCTTCACAGGCAGAAAACCCGAAGTGAGAAAAGTTCCCATTGTTGAAAAAAGCGGCATATAAAATTGAATCATTTTTCGGTTCGACATATTTATGCTAATCTTATTTTCAAACATGAACTTAATAAAATCAAGATATAGATCTCGACTCACCGATGAGCATCTTTATGATTTTCTGCTAACAGGATTATAGTAATAGGCTCCTAATTATGAAGCTCTGGCCAATTAACTGCGATGCCAAAGATCACATTGACTTTATTATATTTTTTAATTACATGTTTTCTTTGTATTTATGTGTTTTGTTTACTTTCTTTACGTTTTGCAAACACATTTCTTTGTGTGTATGCTATTTGAAAAAAATGCCAAATAATTTTATTATTTTGAAACATTTTTGTTTATTATTTATTAATACATTATGACTATAAGAAAATAATAAATTATGGGAAAATGACAAGTTATGGAAGGAGTTTGTCGATTTAAAATAGGTGGTGCCCGCCACCCTACCGATATTTTAGAATGTGCTCTAGAGTAAAAAAAGGTTGGGAACCCCTAATATAGGCTGTACAATTTAAAGATTAACCACACATTTCAATGTCATAAATGACATTATTTTTTTTTTTACAAAAACAGCATAAAAATTATAAATTTGAAGAAAAGGAAGACTAGAGCTGCAATTGTTACATTTTGGTATCTTAGTTTCAACATAATGTAATTTTTGGCTAGTTATTATTTAATTTTGTATTCCTTACTATTAAAAAAATAGCCTTGTAATGTAAATTCTAATGTAGTGAATCTTTTCAAATTCTAACACGAAAATTTAAAGAAATAAAATGGCTAAAGCGTGTGTCAAATTTTATTATTATTGTTTTTCTAACAACACTTTCTGAATGTAAATTCCAATGAGGCCAATGTGTTTTGAATGCTGGGGTGTATTTTACTCTCTTGTGATGCTCCAAAGCCTGTACTTGCAAGTTAGGTAAGGTCAGTGTTACTAATGTTAGTGTGAGCGGGTGAATGGATGTCATATTTTGTATAATTATAATTTTATTGTGTGCGAATCTGCGTGAATGGTCCACTTGACAGCGGCTACAGGGTTTCCCGTTCCGCACGAAGCGGTCAGTATAAAAACTTACCGCTCGGATAATTTCTTTCAGTTGACCCGAGGCGAGATGTAGATCAGGTCAGTTTCTGTGTGGGCTCACCTCGTGCGTGAAGGTATTTGTTTTTTCCCACGTTTTCTTTAACTTGCTTTCGCGTCTGTTTGTTTGTCTTTCCATCAAATATTGCGATCGAAATTTCGGGCACTTCCCAGTTAGCTAACGCACTTAAATTTTCAGGGAAGCTTTGTTTCCAATGACAATACAATATTCAATTATTATTATTACTAAATTGATCTATGGAAAAATTTTATTGATCATTTTAGACTGCTGTTGATTTGTACAAAAAAGGGACATAACCTAGTAATTGTAATTTGATAAAAACAAGGTTCGGTATTTTCCCTCTTCTGGCTTACTGTTCAATCAGAAAACGTGGGTTTTTAAAAAAAAATTTTAAATGATAATTATTTATTGTATTTGTATATGTGTGATTGGTATGAAAGCGACTGCCGATGTTTCTCGTTTTCTTTCTTTTTCGTCTGAAAAGAGATAGTGGGCATCGGCTTGTTTGGTATACACGTGGTGTGTTCTTTTTTGAAAGATTTGAAATGTATTTTGGTATTTTCTAAAACCCTTGGCGTGTTTTAGACCACGTGGTTTAGGTCGTTGTGTTTAGGATGGTTTCCCAAACTGGTTTGAGTGCGTTTATGTATTTTACTTTATTATTTTAAAGTATTGTTATTGTGAGTTCCCCACGATGACTAAGTTGGGCTCAGTCACAAATAATTTTGTTGTGGTTGTCTTAGACAGTAATGAGTGTATTTTAGTTTGCCTCGAGTTTTAGGTTGCTGTAAAATTAATGTGTGTGATGTTTCTTACAACGTCAGGTTGAGTCACTTGCTTTGTGTCTACCCTTATTTGGGGCCTTAGTGGGGTGTGTTAACTGTATTGTTATCAATGTGGATGTTGTATAGGTAGACCAATGGCTTCGTGCTGCTCCTTGTGTAGGATAGATTGGTTCTACAATGATGATTTTTATTGCAAGTTATTTTAATTGGCTAATTTCTTGGTTACACAGTGATTAGTTGTGGTTTTGAGAATTGATTTAGTGTTCTAGGACTAGTGTGTGGTAGTAGGTGGGATTAGTATTTTACTCGAGGCTTTAGATATCTTTAGTAGTAGTCAGTAGTATTTAAACATATGTATATATTGATGTATATATTTTTACATGCATTTCCTTATGTTTTCTTTTTCTTTTTTCTCTCTCCCCCCCCCCCCTTCCAGTGAGGTTGTTTGTGCAACTTGGCTTGATTTGTATGTATTGTTTTGTTTGATGTTTGGTGCGGATATTAGATGGCGTTTCGGTGGCAGCACTGGTAAGGATGGTTGTCTGTGTGTTCAGAGCCTAGACTCCGAGGTACCGAAAGTACATAATATCCCATTGAACGTTGTGTTTTGTTTGTTTGGTGATTGTTTAGTGTTGCATTAGGATGTTTTGAATTTGACTTAATTTATATATTTTTTGTTCCATTTTATTTCATGCAATAAATTCTGTAAATTTTTTTTTGTTTTATTTTTAAGGATAAGATTTAACCACCGTGGGTTTCACCACGGTTGCACTGACCTAGGGAAGGGTAGATAGATAATATGGTCAATTACATAGGTTTAGTCTCATCAAATGAAATATGGTCATTTGTCCTTAGTCTTTATGTGAATCATCATCTTCTATTCCCGTTCGTGTCCAAGAACATGAAGTAGAGTTCATTTTTCAGAGACTTCAGCACCTAAAGGGATAGTGTGGTCAGCACTATGCCCAGCCGTCTTTGCTTTCCATAATGTGAGTCAAGTACACATCAGAGCTGGGTGAACTCTGGAAAGTTCTACTGACATTAACCCCGCATTCAAACTCGAGACTTATTTTAGTAAATACTGTTAATTTATTTAACCACATACATTAATTTAACCTGCATTCAAGTTCTTATATATAAAAACA